AAAATACAACATTTTCAAAAAACAAGATGGCTGCCAGTCGGCCATCTTTGATCCAATTGTGAAATAAATCGTCATGGACATGTATCCTAACATGTATATTCTATGTACCAAGTTTGAATGAAAACTGACAAAGCATGTCCAAAATACAACATTTTCAAAAAACAAGATGGCTGCCAGTCGGCCATTTTGAATCGAATCGCTAAACCACTGCATGTGCATATGTCCCACATAAAGTACAAATGTACTAGGCACATGCAAAGAATGAACGGAATCGGTCCAAGGGATTCTGAGATATGACTCCGGACGGACGCACGGACGCACAGACGCACAGACGCACGGACGCACGGACGGAGACCGAATTATAAGTCCCCGTTTTTGGACTTCGTCCGAACGGGGACTAATAAGCTACATATGTAAGCATTTACTATAACTGACAAAGTCATATTATTTAAAGCAACATTAATTCACAGAATTATATAGCTCTTAATATGCACCGAGAATAATGGAGTGTAGCATATTTCGCTATAATTATCCGCGGATATGACCTAAATTCACATTATCTACAAAGAACAAAAGAATTGGTCCATTCTTCCCAGGATCATATTATTTGAAATACTGGGCGTGGCACATTCTCTGAATTCACTTTATCCACAAAGATAAATGAATGAGGTGCAAAGATTACATAGATTAGTTGAGTTCAAACGAACAATCGATACTCACCTGCATCAGTGTAGCGTGTACCTCGTGTACGCGACGGTTACTATTATTGTTAATGCTGACTTTTAATGGTATAGCATTGCCCGGGGCGTATCCCTTCCTCTGTACCCTCACCAGCATTGTAGTTGGTCTGGATATGCATAGAAGGCATCCTCCTGACATTTCGGTCTGTGCTACAATTGGTGCCTGTTGTATATTAAATTTTAATTATTTTCAAGGGTACATATTAATATGTTATTACTATTATGTATTATGAAATGTAACAATTATATATTCTTTTATATTAATACATAGGATAATTAAAATCATTATACCGCTGTCTAACACATACATTCGTGTTACCATTTTTTTTTTCGTTGGTATGCACATTGCATGCTGCTACATTTGTATATTCATATGACGATCGTAACTCATATCACTTGGATTCAGATAGAGATTATAAACAAGCACACGTGTTTTCACTGAGAACCGTACACTTGTATTCACATGGAGATTGTAAACAAGCACACGTAAAACGATTGTAAATGGAAATTGTAAATAAGCATACGTGCATTCATATTCCAAACCGTACACCTGTAAAATTTACTTATACAAGCTTTTATGTAAATTGCTAACTAGCAATACATTATTGACTAATATTCACGCTGTTTTACTGGCTTGCACTGAGAGTTTGAGATTTAAAGTTACACTTGGTACGTTTACTAAGCTCACCACGCTCCAACTCGTGTAATTTCCTACAAACGATATAGTTACACGCACATCATTTGACGCTCGAATTCAGTCACGTACATCTAGCACGCAAATACATGTCACATTTTAACCTACGCAATTGTCCTCATTCGAGTTGTAACGTCGTCCTCGGGGTTATTCAAGCGTGTAATATTTACGAGGGTACAAATGGATTAAGAAGAGTGCCGTATTGGATAAGGCAATAACATTAATTCACTAGTCTGTCTCAACTGATCAATAATAAGATATATAATTGTTTGAAACAGTCTTAGACTATTGATTTTCCAATCCACATTGTACATAATCTAGTAAAGTAACAAACGGTGTCGCCAATAACCTAATGCTTTTTATTTTGACAGTTGACTTCGTGCTATAGGTAAATAAGTGCTAACCGTTCAATGTCTCACCTTTGCATTAGGTACTCTATTGGGATCCATGTGTTTGCCTATTACTGTTAGCGCCCTCTTAGAATATACATTTTTACCAGAGGATCTTTCAATTGTACATTTGAGGGAATATCGAACACATCCGTACTTCCCCTCAAATGACATTGGAAGATTCCGATCAGGGATCTGTAACCTAAATGGGAATCGATGAACTCCCGATTGTAAATTCCAGTCTTCTTGTCGTTCCCTATCTGTAACAAAGCATGAAGGAGAGTTCAGCATATGTCGTTCACGATGAAAGCATACTGATAGACAGCTTTTTAGCCATGCGGCCCGAGGGAATTGCCGCCAAATAGCTCGTGCTAGCTCCTCTATGAAAACCTGACAAGTACTGAGTGTAGGTATTGTTTTGTTTTTGTGTAAATAAACAAACAAACAAACCAATAAACCAACCAATAAACAAACAACCAACCATCAAACAAACAAAAACACAGACAGCAATGGTGAAGAATCCTTCATTTCTCTTGTAACTATAATATGTAATTTGTTTCCAATTGAACTAAGGGTCAGCTCAAAGTCTGTTAGCGAGGCATGTGTTATCATAATGACATCATGTTTAAATGAATAAAGCTGGACTATCTGTATTGAACTAATGTGTATTATTCTGGTTCGAACCAGGTACAAAGGGGCGTTCAATTAGTAATGCCCAAGACCCACTTACAGTTGAGGCAGCCATTTTGGAAGATCGACGCATTACTGTTCGCCAAATAACCCAAGAGGTCAAGATTAGTACAAGGTCTGTGGAAACTATCATTCATGACCATTTGCATATGCATAAGGTGTCTGCCAGATGGATTCCCAGGTTGCTCACACCTTTCCAGAAGCAGGAACGTGTCGAGTGCTTGAGGATGAATTTGGAAATGTGTCAAGACGATGACTCAAAGTTTTTCAAAAGACTGATTGCACAGGATGAAACTTGGGTCCATCACTATGATCCAGAGACCAAAGCCAAGTCAATGCAGTGGAAGCACTTGGGCTCACCACTCTAAAGAAGGCAAGGGTGCTCACGTCTTCTGGGACCAGGACGGAGTGATGACAGATTTCATGGCAAAGGGTGCCACAATTACAGGAGCCTATTCCGCTTCACTTTTGATGAAATTAACAGAAGCTTTTAAAATCAAGAGCCAGGGCAAGATCAGCAAAGGTATCCTCCTCCTCCAGGACAACGCTCCGGCCCACAACTCGCAAGTCGCCAGATCAGAAGCATGGGCGTGTGGCTATTAAATCCTTCCCCACCCCCTCACTCTCCTGACCTTGCACCCTCTGACTTTCATCTCTTCCCAGTCATGAAGTTGTGTTTGAAAGGAAAACGTTTCCCAGATGATACAGCCCTGATTTCTGAAGTTACGACGTGGTTGGAGAACCAACCTGCCATGTTCTACAAAAACGGTCTCCAGAGCTGCATCAAACGATGGGAGAAAAGCATAACTTTGGGTGGTTCCTATGTAAAGAAAGACTAATAACTGTGTCAAGTTTCATTAATATCCTGCTATGGGAAATGGGTCAGGGGCATTACTTATTGAACGCCCCTCGTATCTCTACGAATACTAGTAATTGTTATCAAATAAGCGAGATAATGTTCCCCCAAACACAACAGAGTGTTCACAACAAAACAGACCTTTTTAAAAACAATTATACACTTACTTTATGTCTGAAGGACCGTCTTTCCAAAAAACAAGAAATTTCGTTGTTATCTTTTTGAATTATTTGGCAATGATCAATAACTTTTCGATATGAATGATTAATCATTCCACATTTTTTTCCATGGCACCCGTACACATTCCTATCAACATTTAATAGATTGAATTCATTAGAGCCTATGTATAACTTAATGAATTACCAATGCCAAAAAATTCTCGAGATTGATGTTTCCATGGCAAACAAATGCAGGAGGCAGTAAGCACCCATCAAAAATACACAATCTAAGAGTTATCATTCATAAATTAAACTTACACAATTTATTGAAACTTGTAGTTACTGAGGGAGAGTATATGTCATGGACATTGTTTGTTAAGAAATTAAGGCAGCTCAATATATCTTCTGACTAATACATAACTGATTCCATTACAAACTGTATCAAATCCACCTATAAATCTGAAAACCCCATTAGCACACTCTTCACTTGAACATACAGCGACAACCAGTGCTTCGACTGTTGGATTGCATTTGTCATTAAATAAGCCAAAATAAAATTGTGTCTAGTCACTGACTTAAAGCGGGGGGTGATGTTACCTGCGCATGCGTCAGATGGCCATGGCGTGTCATTGTTTACAAACAAGCGTCTACCCATGAGCCTTTGCGGTTTTAGCGTGCGTTGTTATTGTCGCTTAGTACTCAATTCCCGCGCGTGCGCAGGAGACGCTCCTCCCGCTTTAAGTAAAGTCAGAGACAATGTAGCCGATGATTATTATAAACATGGATGACGTTGATTACTGTAAAGGCATGACGTCACACTAATCATCACTTGGTGTTGAGACACTGTAAACATGCGCCGTTCGTTTGACGACAGATTCCATTGATACAATAATATACCGACTGTACCTTTGATCAGCTTTCAATTATTGTTTCAGAAAAAAACCTAAAAAAGATAATGTTGCACGCTGCTCATGTTAAACTGCCGAGCTCTAAATATATTGAAATCACTACACGGTTAGACTACAGGTTAGCTTCAACAATAGAACTGGTGATGGTTGTGAACCATAACTTTCTCAACGACTGTGTGTAATGGGGGGAAGGGATGTAAAGGGAAATGTATTGTTGTTTTACCTCTGTGTAATTTACAATATATCTGTATAACATTTATAAAATCACAGTGCTGAGATTCACTTCAAGTATACCTGAAATATAATCCTATAATCGCTTACGAGTCGTCAAAACGTACAGTTTGGTGAAAATTGGGAATGATACCAAGATTTAACAATTGCATGAGAACATCGCGATGTTCTTTTGACACATGACACGGATATGCATAAGTCAAATTTTGTATAGCTTCAATACACATACAAATATATATGTTGACAATAAACCTCTCTGTCGCGTTGTGTAAATACAAACAAGACATTAAATCTTCCTGACAGTAACATGTTAGTCGGTAATGTGATGGTCCTGAAATTCCAGTAATATTATTGGGCCACGACAAACTTGTATTCTGGTATACAACTGAACCTAATATTGTAACAGGGTCTGCAACAGGAGGTTTAAAAATGCTTTTCATTCTACTTAACGGATTATGGTCAATGACTCCTCAATGACGTATCTTACAAGTGTTGTATGAACCCGAATGAAAGGTTCAGAGTCACGGCGAATACTTCTTGCGAGTCATCCCTCTAATAACGTCTTCAACCAACCTAGACCAATAATTAATGTGCGGGTAAAGTACTCTGGCTAATGATATTGAACTTTGCTTATTGTGACATATTCTGCCCCCCCCCGGGTTCTGAGCTTGCATTCTGGCTACATTTACTGTCCTTTTATATCAGTTCAATTTTCTTTCATTATTTCATCAAGAATTCATGATATGTACTATTTAAAACCAACCTTCATTTCACAGTCACTCTAGTGCCACTTTTCAAAAATTATTTTACTGATCAAAAGACTTATCACTCCCATCATGCAATCCCCCATAGTACTTCCGCAGACACGGCGACGACCACCAACATAAATACAAAGAATCCTTTCTCTCGGAATTACACCACGTGATCCATATGCTGCAGTCCATTAAAATGATTTCATTTGAAGAGAATATACATATATAATGTTCAACAAGGATCAACCATTGACACGCAGGTCAATACATCACACACTATGACACCACGGCATCTTGCCAATGCGATGACATACAGCTAAACTATCAATTCTTCTCAACAAGCGCAATTACAGTTCAATTCATTTTCCCGCCAAAAGTGAATAATGACGCTGGTGCGGTGTGCTGCGAATTGACGACTGCGTAATGTCAGTAGACATGCAAACTTTTTACAACTATGTCAATATAATTATGAGAAAGCTAAAGTTTAACTTAACGACTTAAAATATTTCCGTGGTGAATAGCTTTTAATTTCACAAGACGAATGGACACCATGGCCGCCATGGGAATTATCGTTGTAATCAATGTCAGAGCAATGGAGCTTTGCTCATGAAATGTAGGGTTTGGAAGTAAACATGTTGTGTTGTGAGCGTTTGGCTTCCATGTAGTGTTGACAAGATTTTATAGTATTTGTCAGCACGCTGGAGTTGAGTGTCGTATAAATTACTGATAAATATTGACTACGGTGACAATATTAATTAACAAACCTGGATAAACTTGAACTTGCCCTCACACGAAACTAGAATTTATTGTAATGACGGCAAAGCAGGCGGACGGGTTGATCGGCGGATGGGCGGATAACCTCGATCATAAGCAATGGTTGGATTTTATGTATTTATTTTGTTAACTTGAATTACAAAGAAAATATAAAATGTGGGTCCCACGTAACGTATACAACGCCTGTAAAATATTAAAAAATCGAACGCGTTCTGCGTGATACCGGTCAACTGAACCAAGGCACGTTGTTTTAGTTAAAGCGGGAGGGTCGTCACTTGCACATGTGTCAGATGGCCATAGCGTGTCATTGTTTACAAACCAGCGTCTACCCATGAGCCTTTGCGTTTTAACGTGTGTTGTTATCGTCGCTTGGGACTCAATTCCCGCGTGTGCGCAGGTGACGACCCTCCCGCTTTAAAAGTTTCACGTTTGCCATTATTGAAGATACATTTTCTTTCTACTGGGAGGTGGCATTCTGCTTGTTCAAAAGCACACAAGAATCTCTAAATACAAGACACCAATGTTATTTCACTCCTCAACTCCAACCACCATAGCGTGTTATGGTATTTTAAAGCAGGGGAGTCGTTACCTGCGCATGCGGCAAACGGCCATAGCGTACCCATGGTTCTTTGTGTTTTCAGCTTGTGTTGTTATTATCGCGTGGGACTCAATTCCCACGCATGCGCAGGTGACGACCCCTCCGCTTTAATAGTATTAGTATTTACCCGAACAAACATGCATATATCCACAATGAGTACCTCTAACCCTCTAGATAGAGGAACTGTGATACATCACATAGTATAATTTGTAATAAAGCGCGTCATGCAATACGATCTCGGATTATCATTGCTAAAGTGGAAGCGACGTTGTCTAAATAATCTCCGCCGTTGG